AGAGTGTGCGATGGAATTACATGATTTAATTCCGCCTTCCCCTTTCCATCACCGGGGGACTAGGCGTAGGCTTGGGTTCCACCCCTATGTTGTGGATATTCCAAAGATTCGCACGAAGCGTTACGCTTCCACATTTATATGGCGAACGGCTATGGAGTGGAATTCCCTGCCTGCAGACTTGTTCCCTGAACGTTATAACTTGGACCTTTTCAAGGCGAGAGTGAATAGGCATTATTTAGGTGTGCATGCTCCATCGTCGACCTCATCGTCACTTTCCATCAGGTGAGATGGAGGTCAAATGCGCACCTATATTTTATAAAAAAAAAAAAAAAAAAAAAAAAAAAGTAACAGCTAAATAAATAGAGCGTATTTTGCCATGACAGTTAGACGCACGCGGTCGCTGTGCGGCGGCAATGCGGTGGCCGCGCGGTGTAAGCGCGATGAAATTTGTGTCGAATAAATGCGTGATGCGTAAAAGGGTGATACTTAAATTATTTATTATTAAGTTTTTTAGTGTAATTATTAGATATACACGTTTTCAATGAATTACAATAACTTTACGGTTTGTAACTGTTCAATGTGTCTACATAAAATAAAAAACAGTATCAGTAGCTAAAATTACTGACTGTGAGAACCAAAAAAGTTAAGGTACGTTTAAGACCTTCAAACGTCTTTATTATTATTATTAGGGTGGCTTCAATCTGGGTTTATGCGGCCCCTCATCACCGCGACCATTAACTGATTTATTGTAATGACCACCAATTACAGTTCAGAGCCAAGGCCAACACAGCATTAAAAAACTGAAGGACTTTTCTAGCTCTGCCAGTTTTTGTGTCCTCTCGTTGTGGCCTGTGCCTTCTCAGTGTGGAACTTCTTACACATCATCTTATTGAAGAAACTATTTTTACAGATGTACTATATTGTGTATAATTGGTTTTTCAACCAAACTAACATTTCGGGCTTTACACATCCCATGGTCATAGTCCACTGTCCCATAGACTCAAATGAATACTTTTACTTCCAAAATATACAGCAATAGTGAAAAATCTAAGAACACAATTTTTATTTAATGGCCCACAAACATTGACTTACAATTATATGGACGTCGGGTCCGCGCTAAAAAGTGTCCGAACTTATAGGGCGTTAAAATCGTATACAGAGCGTCATTCACGCTTTAGTCTTCGTTTGTTCGACTGAGAGCGAAGCAAGCAAAATTAGACAGTACTGCGATGACATTACAATTTAAATCTAACGTTTTAGCTTTTTCATATTCCTTTACATGTCACTACGTTTAAATAGGTTGACTTGGGACATTTTTGTCGTGGTTTTCGTATTAGACCCGTCGTCCATTTATTTATAAGTCAATGCCCACAAATAACTTTTGGACCTGTGAATGCACAGACTTTTGTCATCAATAAATTTTTGTCATGTATATAAAAGAATTCAATTGCTTGAAATTCTGCATCATATCATAAATCATAAAATAAAATAAAAAGAGAATGAAATTTAGTTTCAATCATTCCTTTGTAAAATTTAATGGGTCTTACTTTCTCTTATCAAACCATATCGCCTCACAGCCTTTCTTCTGTAGTGCTGCCATGATGACATTGATGTCGTAGTTGCCAAGCCCCAGCAGGGAGCGGTGCGGGTTGATCCACACATTTGGTGATAGTCTGCTGCAGATGCCATCAAGCTCTGATTTTGTGTATGTACCTCGCATCTGAAAGAATGGAAACATTTTTGTTTATTTCTGTTGAATATACATGTCTAAGAAGTGCCTTGTTTTAATTCTTTATTTAGGGGCTTTTGATTATTATTGAATATCTAAGCCGCATTACAAACACAATACATTAAAAAAAAATTTTTTTTTTTTTAAATGTACAAAAAGGCTACCTGCACCCTGATCGGTTCAATCCAAGCACACTCTATGAGCAAATGATGTACCAGAAAATGTTAATTTAATTAAATGTGTGTTCTACTTATTGTATTTATTATATCAAGTTAAATTTTTTATTAAAAGAACCTCTCAGTTTTTTATTCATTTCTCACAAGAGAATCTGTCTCAGTGATGAGTAATGGTATTTAATTAATTCAAAGATATCAAGTGTAATTTGCATATCTATGAAAAATTGTATTTTGGATTGAAATTTGAAAATTTGTAATAGTTATCTATGGAATGGTATTGTGTAATGGAATAGTATCTGGAACTCAACACCATTGTGCCCGTTTTTCATGAAAATAATTATAATAAAATATATTTTTCTTTCCACATGTAGATGGAAAAAAAGACTATACATTCAGCAAAGATTGAGATATGATTAGCCTTTCCAATTAGAGCCAATTTAAAAAAAAAAGTTTTCTTAAAATTGGTTACATGACTTAATAAGATCCTGTTTCATATAATACTGAAATATATGCAGATGATCTCAGTGGACCACTCATTATAGGTGCTAAATGAGGAGAAACAATCATCATGTTTCGAGTTTTTAAGTTTTGAGATTGTTACATATAGGAAATGAAACTATACTTTCGGATCTAAATTGCAATTAGACATAGTTAAACAGAAAGGATCCAATGCACAACCAGTCACTTTCAAGATATGGTTGTTTGAAGTTTAAAAATGTTTCTCTCTTGTTTTATTTTCAAAACTTATTTATATATGTTTATATGTTGGTTTTTTTTTGCTAATCTAAGAGATTAGACTTTAGGACTCATTTGGTACATATAACTCATTTTTTGATAACTGTGTACAATTCACCTGTAAAGGGTCCAAAACATTAGTTTGTTTGAAAAAACAAATACACACAAGATTTAGATTTGCAAAAATAGTTTCATTTCCTAATCATTCTTTCCTAAATTGACACTGGTTTGGATATTCTGGGCATTATTGTAGCTCTTCTCAAACACAGTACAGGGACTTCACCTGTATGAGACAAAGTCATTGGCGCGATTGTCTAGCATAGTATAACAATCATTATGTTCATTGACTTCTTTCTTTCAGTATTAGCAAAATATACATAAAGCATTATCTATTGGCAATGCCACATAATTATGAGACAAAATGAGTTCATAGACGAAATTATGACAAGGTTAAGCATACAATACGCGCTCTGTCGAACTCCTCTCAATGCCATCCGAACCAGATATAACACCTTTCAATGACTTATAACAATGATAAGGAGTAGTCAACAAATTAGTGTTTACTAACGTCTTACGGTACAAATTGTGTTCATGGCCGTAACTTTACTTAAAAATGTAACAATAACTAAAATGATAATTTACCTGGAACAGATTGTTAAGCGCGTGCAAGGCGCATAGCTCTTTAACTTGTTTTTCATGGTAAATTGGTGGTTTTGGATTCATTTCGTTCATATAGAATTTAACATGTTTTCACTTATCAGACATACATTTTATGCTTTTTTTAATGTTTTCGAGGTCACGGCTCTGTTATTATTAATCGCACGCGCTTTTTTTCACTGGAAAACTATAGAAATACATAGTTTTCTATTTTAATACAATTGACAATTTTGTGACAAATTGGTTAACTTGACAAGTTGACATTGACGGCTTGTTAACTTTTTTAGTCTTTTTTATATGTTTTATGATCTTGGATTCAAGATATTAGCCGAAATTTTAATGTTTGTTATTTACTGTTGGGTTCATAGATTTAGTATGGATATACTAAATCTATGGTTGGGTTAAGGCTTAACCATGACGAGCCAAGTTAAAAAACTCTTATAAAGAAACACGACATACGAGATTTGGCTTAAGTTCTTTGTTGCAAATGCTGTAAAAATGTTACTAAAAAAATAAAGTCAGTACTAGCGGGAAACAAAAACGTTAATTTGTCTGTTTTTCATAAAAAAACTAGCAAAGAGACACCGCCAGTATAACATTTAAAAGAAAAAGAAGAAGCAAAAAAAGAGAACAATGTTCCAAACTGACGAATTTCACGCATTGCTGCCAGAGGACTGTGATGATAATCATTTGTCTACATTAAATAAAACTTCGCTATTGCAGTACAAGCTCTCGTGTGAAAGGTATGTATTGACTTGTCTTAGCAAACCAAATGTGTATTTCCCACTTTTCGCAACTGTAGTACCTAATTATAATTCTTAACTACACATTCTTGCACACCTCGCTTGACTTATATCTTGTTGCCTTTTTCTGTCGATTTTAGGTCCAACACTATTTCTTCTAATCTACTCAAAGATGTCTGGCAAAGAAATGAAGAGTTGTTAAATGAGAAGGCCATGGACCACATCATCAATTCTGCTAAAGCTCTTTTACAAAACTCTGATATAACTAATATGAAAGCTTGGAGAAGTTCTCTTGGGTATGAACGCTTGAGTTGTTCTTTTATTTTAAAGTGTTATAGAACGATTGATACATTGATATTGCAGCCAAAGTTAAGTTAACAAAGACACGAGTTTCTTACTCAGAATAAAATTATTATCATTTGCTTTTTTTTATTGTTTTGAAGATTTGGAAGACAAAGTGAAATAAATAGTTTTTAAATTTATTTCATGACCTCAGATTCAAGTCCTTGAGTCGAAATATTAGAAATAATAAACATTGTAAGTAATTCCAAACAGTAATAATTATAACATAGTAGTAAGAACAAAATTATTTACATTGGTTATTTATGTTACATTCAATAGTATTTATGATGAAATTAGTAAAAAAAAATGACATAAACTGTATTCTTCTGTAGTTCCTATGACACTCAAATATGATGTGGTTTGTATCCACATTTTCCCTAGAGAAATATGTACAATTATATTACTCTGCTCAGATTTGCTAGGGCCCAACTAATGCCAATGTTTTTTGCCAATTTTATGTGTTATTTCCAGATTAAGTTTAAGGCTCAACTCACACAGGCGCAGAGTCGAAGCGTCGTTTTTTTCGCCTATAGCATATTCATCCCTATTTTCCCTTTAATAAAGTACAAATGCATGCTATGCAAATACGGAATTCGCGCGCCTTCGCCGCCTTCACCTTTTTATAGTTGAAAACGCTTCGACTGTGCGCCAGTGTGAGTTAAGCCTAAGACAATAATACTCACAAGTCCTAGTATTGGATATTTCTGAATTTACATTCCTATCCCAAAGCAAACTTTGTAAACTTCCCTGTAAATATGATGGAACATCAATTACAAACATACAGCTCTTTAGGTCGAGCTTTGAATGTCCTTCTGTTTGTAATTCCCTACTTCAAACATTGTATTGAAATCTAAATTGCTAAAAGATTTTTTTTTTAATAACATCAAGTGACGGGATGAACAGTTGTGCACCTGATGGTAAACATCACGCCTGTCCATCACAGTTACAGTGCCACACAGAGCTTTAAACTGCGCCCGTCACCCTGAGACATAAGTTGACAAGTCCCATGTGCCTGTAATTTCACCAGCACCCTTACCCTTCAAAACTGGAACACAGTAATGCTGACATTACTGCTTGGCGCATGAAACTCTGGTAAAAGAAAAGAACTTTCTTCATTAAAAAATTAATTCTTACAATTATTATTTCAGCAAATTCACTGATCCAGAAACTTTATTTGAGCAATCAATACCGACCTGCCTGCAGTGCTCAGAGCAACCGTTGTACCACAATTTAGAAAACTTCTATAAATCCAACTGCAAATGTGATTTACGGATTAAAGAGGAACAAATCAAAAATACAGAAAGTAGTAGATATGTAGACACAGAAGCAAGGTCTACTTTTGTTAAAAATATAAATAACAGCAGTCAAGAATCGAAGCCTTTTGAAGAACGAACCTTTAAACCACGGTTTGGTAAAAACAAACCATTAAACAAAAACCAAACTTACAAGTCTACAGAAATTCCCACTACATCCAAATATATAGAAGAGGATCCCATAGATTTTGATAAAGAAGAAGAAGAGAACAAAGCTCATAAAAGTAATGTTGCAAAGATAACATTCAAAACGGCTAAGGAGAGTCTGTTAGCATCAAATCCGGCTGCTAAACGGACTTTGGGTGCAACAAGGAAGGCTAATTCTAAATTTATTTCTCCTATGATTAACGCTCAGTAAGTTGGGATGAAACATATAATAATATAGTTTTTCTTCTTTACATGTCAAGACAAGATAATACACAGCATAATGAACTTTACGAGTCAAAAAACAAGTCGCTCTTCTGGAAAATTCTCAAGCAGTCTCTAGAATTCCCTCAGCTGCCGTATCGCATCCAGCTAGAAAAATCTCCGTATTAGGGACTCACAACATTTATTAGCGCAAAATCGCATCAGAAAAAGCTTTATATTCATGAATGTCAGAGCGAAAAAGACGTGCATTTAGCATTGGTTCGTACGAACGCGGGTCGGCACATGTCGCCAACGAATCGGCTTCCTGCGAATTTCCGATCTCGTCAGTACGCATGCCGACGACGACTGATCGGTTTAGAAACAACCTGCACGACCGCGCGATAACGGCCGCGTTAAAGGGAATCGGCTTAATGCGACAAGTATGGTTAAACACGATCGCATCAAGACGAATCCGCGTTTTAAATTTGGTGACACCCTTATAGTAAATATCCACCAAAGAGAAAGTTGTAGACCACACTTTATTAAAGAGAACATGTTAACCCTCCGATCACTTTATATCATGGAAGTAACATTGTTTGTCAATAAGCAACCAGCATATTTAGAATTTAATAAAAATCTAAATTACAAATATACAGAAATAGGCCATTGTACTGATCTATCTTAATCCATAATAAAATTCCAATATTAATTAAAGAATAAAATAACATTTAACACATTTAAAAAATAAACTGAAACAAGTTTTCATCCAAAGTCAGACATCAACACCAATAACCTGGTCTATAACTAGGATATTCCCTGCACTACGAGTACCTGGAGTAACAGAATTCACTCTAGAGCACTACCCAGAACAGGGTCTTTTTCATCCAGAGCCTTACATTGCAAACCGTTGAGCCACCGACATCGTGAATAGATTGATGATATTTTATTTTTCTTAATACCAGAGATAAGCATGACACTGCAGAACCTGCATTTACGGATGATAGGCTGAAACACATTGATCCGAAGATGATTGAGCTTATTGAAAGTGAAATAATTGACAAGGGCACTCCTATAGGTGAGTCTATCTAAGAGCTTGTGCACACGGCGTATTTTATACGCGCCGCAGATGCGCTGTAGTGAATCAATTCAAACGCGCACAACATCGCGTTGCAACCAAGAAGCTTATATACTCCACTGGACTTTACACTTAGAATTTCATATCAAAGTCAAATTCGAAGAATCATTTATTCCATAGGTAAAATAAATTTGCACTTGAACACGAATATATAACGTAAACACAAAAGTAAACACGAATATAGCAACTATATTTAGTTGCTTTATTGTAAAAACTAACTGAAATGAATAAACAAAACTAAAACTAGAACTATCTTTTATTAAAATGCGAGATACATACGCGCGACTAAAGCCCTACGGCGTGTATACGCGCAGATGACGCGTGTTTACGGCGCGTAAAAAGTACGCCGTGTGCAAATGCTCTAAATAATCTTACGTCATCTTTTTGACATGACACCTGTGCATAGCATAAGTGGAATTACGTCAAACATGTTTATTGCTCCATTACATACAGAACAATATAACCCACATCCTTCATCCATGGAGAGGATGTGGGTATCTAATCTCTAATTGGAGAGGATGTGAGTTACACTTATGTCATTCTTCCATGAGGGGTTCGATATCTTATTTACCTTCTTTCGACGACTACTCTCGTTTCGACTTCTTGCGTCACTAAACATTTAGTAAATAACCAAAAGTGATACTATTTTTTCGGGTTCCAAATTTTTATAATTGTTTGTTTATAAGTCTATTATTATTAAAATAATTATCCCCTATTAAGTATTTGCTACAAATTATTATCTCAAAAAATAATATTGTAGTTGTTTCTATGGTTACTTACATATGTAATAGTTTAGTCATTATAAATCAGTACAGAGTACTAAAAAAACCTATCTCAACAGTCATTCATCCCTAAGTTTGCCACCCTTGGAGGTGGAACATTTTCTTTGAATTTTAATGGGACCAATTCTGAGATATCGTCTTTGAACAAAAAGGAATCATCAAAATCGGTTCGCAAATGCCGAAGTTATCGCGTAACGTACATACAAAAAAAACACAGTCCAATTGATGACCTAAAAAAAAATGAGAACATATTTTGGAATGTTCAGAAAATTACCAGTAAAAAAAAATTACACGCATTGATGACTAAATGGGTATATCTATAATAAGAAATCGTGCATACTGTACTTTAGATTAACTCCCACAATTCCGATCATTGTTTATTATACACGTATTAAACGCACGTTTATTCGGTGGGACATATTCTCTGTTAACTAGTCAAGTCATAAAATAGGCTTATCGCCGCCATATTGCGGATTTATACAAAATATTATTTTCTATTAATGTCTCTATTTTTAGATCAAAATGGGGCATTTAAATAGTCATTATATTAGAAGTCAAAATCTTAAACACAGATGTTCTTTGTTAACTGGCCAGATAAATAAAACGAAAATATTCAATCTGTGTTCAGGATGGGAGGACATAGCAGGACTTCAAATGGCGAAATCAGTGATCCAAGAGGCTGTAGTATGGCCACTGTTGCGACCTGATATCTTCACCGGCTTGCGAAGACCACCCAAGGGCATCCTGCTATTTGGTCCACCAGGAACAGGGAAGACTTTGATTGGTAATGAGCATAGACTTTAGAAGTAGTGTTATGTTCTGAAAATGTACTTTTGTTATGGTAAAACGTACTTAGTGGTTGCTTTTTAATTAAAAGGTTGGCGCACAAGGGTCGGAATTTTGACCTTCCTTTACATAGAAATTTAAAAGTGCTGTTTTTCGTTCTGCAAACTGTCAAATATTATTGAAATTGACATAGAACCGAACAATACCGAAGAAAATTTAATACTTTTATATCTATTTCACCGCTCCGATATACCGAAAAGTTGTCTTAAACATTTTATATGTAAAATATCTTTTGGAACATGTCATTACTGTATGTGTATTGTCGTCGGATCTGTACTGGGTCAATAGTGATTCCATATGACCTTTGACCTTGACCCCGAGCGTCCCCATTCAAAATATATGGTTTAATAAAAATGCAACATTAGACAACTTTAGGCACTTCTATTGTTTTTTTCTACCACAAGGTATAAACCGCTGTTGCCAAAACTCACACATTCATTTTTTTAAATACTATGAAATATTAATCATGATTGGTTGTAGTTTAAAATTTAAAAAGAAATATGAATTCTGGACTTTGATTATAATTTAAACTTCACGCTGTTTGCATATCGTTGAATGTTCAATACCTATTATTGCAAGTTATGATGTTTTGTACGATTACGATTTTACATTGCAACTTTATTCGATGTGCTGCCATCTAGCGGTTAATAGCTGAACGACGACGAATTCGAGCTGTTTACTTAGTTCTCCAAAAAAGAAGCGATCATGTTGCATAAGGTTTATTTTTGTTTCTTGTTTCTTGTTTGTTTTTTGTTTTTGTTTCTTGTTATTTTTGTTTGTTGTTTAATCGGATTGAGACTATACAGAGGAAATTCTTACGACATTTAAAATACAGATTTCCTTGTGAAGTTACAACATACGAAGACATCTGTCATGAGTACAATCTTCTAACTCTTGATGAGCGTCGAACAGTGTTGGACATGGGTCTCTTATATGACGTCCTGAGCGGGCGCTTGGATTGCCCTGAGATCCTGGAGCAGTTGGCGCTAAGGGTGCCGGGGCGCCGTACTCGCAATGCAACACTGTTCCACGTTCCGTTCCATTCTACCAACTACGGCATGAATGCAGTATTGACACGAATAGCCAGATGCTATAATGCTCGTTTCGGTGAAATCGATCCTTTCATTGGTAGTAAAGAAAGTTTCTTGGAAAATATCAGATCAGTAGTCCAAAAAAACACTCACATTTAATATTATTTGTATCCTTAAATGTATATGGGTATGTATATAGGTATATGGTATTTGTATTGTATTAACACAACATTTTGATACATGTAAAGTCCCACACTTATCCGAATGTGTTATATGTTTTAAGTAATAGAGATGTTTGTGAACATATACATTTGAAATCATAGGCATATATATGTAATTAAATAAATACATGTGTGATATAGTACCTATACTGTACCTTAATACTTTTTCTATATTGATAACTATGATAAGTGGTAAATGTTAAAAATTTACATTATGATTGTAATTTTTATATGTATTATATTATATTTATATATTATATAGCCCTATTTACATCAATATTATAATTTATAAGGCTTCAATATTTTGTATCATTGTGGACAACTCTTTTGGCCTAAGATATTTCATGTCAAGTTATGTTATTTGTAAGATATTTTTAAGTTGGCTGTTGTTGTTCCTTAATAAATAAAAATAAAAAATAAAACAAAAAATGATTACGATAAACAGAAAATTGAAAATATATTAAAATTAAATAAAATAAGACTTAATGATTGACTTAATACGAAACGCCAGCATAGATAATGTTACAAGTGCGACTATCATTTTTGCACTCTAAACTAACGAAATAAGACATATTGTACGTATTTCGAGGTTTTGCGCGAGGTAATTAGAATAGAATAGAAGTCGTTTATTACTACGCCACAACAAAAATATACACAGTAATAAAATGAAGACAAAAAAAAAGATGAAGCTACATTAAAACAAAAAATTAAACTAAAAATAACTGAAAAAAAAAGGAATAAAAATAACATACACATCAACAAAGCAAACATGAAATATTTAACACAATTAGACTAAGTGTCATGTGCGCGGCTGTGGCGTAAGTAACAGGATCCCACTCAGCTATTGTCACCACCACCGAGGAAATGCTGTGACGCTGATTTTCAGTGGGCCCTAAAACCGAATGAGTACCGGACGTGTGTGTCGCGAATATACGAGTAAACTTAAATAAATTACATAAATATTTCTATAATGTGGTGTGTTGTGTTCAGTTATATGTATAGAATACTTAAATAATGATTTTGATACATATATAAAGTGATAAGTGTATGTAGTGTAGTGTCCAACATTTACAACAAACAAAATAGATCTTATTTAGTTTAAAATGAAACCGATTGTGAGATTTGTGTCACGTGTACTACGCAAGAAGAGAGGGTAGGCGCGCGGGTAATTAACACAACCATAACATACGAAGCGAAAATGGCCGACTGAGCTCAACAGCTTGATTTTGATTGTCTCTCCCGATCGGAAACTGCGACTCTTCCGAGTCGAAGTGCTTAATAGCGATTCACAACTGGCGGATCAGAAACTTTTGACATTTCAAATCGGACAACACTTGATTTAAGTCACAAATTAGAAAAATATAGTAGGGATCAGGTTCATCTTGTCGCTCGTAAACCCATCTGATTTCGAGACTCGGATAGGTTACCCGAATCTTGAAAATCCCGAAACTTGAATCAAAATCAGCATGCAAGTTCGCAGTTTGCGGAACTCCGCGAACTGTTGGCATACGTGTCACGCAAACTAAGCACTTCTACTGTATTTATTGCTCCGTGGGTCGCACAAACTCACCTTTAGCAAACTTTGGGTCGCATTCTAGAACTCTACTCAATGCTCAAGTCAGGATTTGAGTATGGTTTAAAGCACTTGATATCATACTCAAGTCCCTGCCATTAGGGTCGTATTTCCAGTGCTTGTGTTGACAGTGCAATCCTGACTTGAGCATTGAATAGAGTTCTAGAATACGACCCTTAATCTGACGCCTTAATACGGAATTGAAAAACCCGTTTCTTACGTGTAGATTTTTTTTTTAATTTTCTATAGCCCCGCGCTAGGGAAACCTTGTTGATAAGTTTGCCTTAAAAAATAATTACCATACGACGATGTAGGTGATGTGTATTATACCAGGTAAGTGCGTGGCGGCGCAGTGCAACGCGACGTTCTTCAGCATCTCCGCGTCGTCGCTTACCTCCAAGTGGATTGGCGACGGTGAGAAGATGGTGCGGGCGCTGTTCGCCGTCGCACGTTGCCATCAGCCTGCTGTAAGTCTGCTTTAGAACATTTAGTCATTTATTTATCGCAATCATGTGGTAGATGGGGTGTAGGGGAGATGGAGACACATTTGAACACGTTTGAAGGTTCTGAATAGTATAGAATACGTTTACATGCCAGAATACAGTAAATATACAGGTCTTAAGTTAATTTAGGTACAATGTATTCAACCTGCAAGCAGTTGTGCAAATGTAAAGGAATTTATTGTCTTGTGTACCGTTAATTGCATTTTAATATAATGTTAATTAGTATTTGTAAATTCGAAATATTCTTTATTTACTTTTTTTATTATAGAAGCAATGTGTCAAAAGCCATCTTGCCAATTGTAGTTTAAAAGTACGTCCTTGTAGTAATTTAATGTCATTTGGTAAATTATTAAAAATCTTGATGTACATGTTCAAGCAGTTATTCGTATAAATTATTTTATGGCAGCAAGGTTAGTATAATTGGTTCATAATTTTAGTATCACGTACTCATTTCACGTATTCTGAAATGTTGAGAGTGAATCTTGACAAAAACACATGCTGTAACATACATGCATGTCATGTGACGACATCACACGTCTCTGACATACTCGTACGTGCTGGCAAGAGGAAGTATATTGAGTCTTTTGAACAAGGGTTTGCATGTGTCATCTGGTTAAAACGCCGCACTTACTAGCTTCCTCTGCTAATATTTTTTATAAAAAGAGGTTTTGTTTTTTTTAGTTATTTTTCTGTTTTGTACTATTACTGGGATTTTATAATAATTATATTTATTATATTGCAGTTAATTATGTGAACTTTAATTGAGTTTCGGTTCCCTCCAAACCTATTTGTAATAGTCCTGTGATAAAGAGATTGAAGCACTATATTATATTGTAAAAGATTTTATATATTTTTTTAATAACTAATTTTCATTGAAATTTATGAATTCAAAACTGTCCCAGATGTGTCGAGTCACCTTCATTATACATAGTCAGGTTCATGATACACAGTCACGTTCAAGTCAAGTCTCCTGCACTTTCACAATCTGCAATCCGAAACAGCGTTATTGCTTTGCCGTGAAGATACGTAGATCGATGGTACTCCCATTTCGGTTCTGTACAAACAAAGAACTCTACCACATATACTAGTGCAACTAAAGGCTTTTTCTATTATAGGTTATATTTATAGACGAGATCGACTCGCTGCTGACCCAGCGAAGCGATACGGAACACGAGGCCACGAGGAGAATTAAAACTGAATTCTTGGTGCAGTTTGATGGCGCCGCTACAGGTAAATTTAACTGTAAATAAAAGCTCGATTATCGATAGTGTTTATCGAAGGCACGTATCCAAACTTGCCTCTACAGCATAGTTTCCCAAAGTGGTCCCTACAGCCACCCAGTGGGCGCTGAATTTTTTATGAAATTTAGGGGCGTTGATGCTATCCAGGGGGTGCTACCGCAAAAAACTTGCATTATCTATGTAAACTACACTACAAATATATTATGTAAGTAAGCTTCCCTTTTATGGGCTTCCCACTGACCATTACAATTGGATAACGGATTTCTTGAGTGAACGTTCGATTCGAGTGGTCTTAGAAGGCTACTCTTCTGAACATATGGTGATAGTTCCTCATGGTTCCGTACTGTCTGCAACTCTCTTTCTGCTGCATATCAATGATATGTACTTTCCAGGTACCTTTGCGTATGCTGATGACAGCACAGTTGTAGATAGGTACTTGACCAATGCAAGGGTCAGTGGAGAGGAAATCCAGTCTTGTCGAGAGTCCATGGTTAGCCGTTTGGATTTGACACTCCAGGCAGTCTCCAATTGGGGCGATGTCAATCTTGCCAAATTTAACGCTACCAAAACGCAGGCGTGTCTATTCTCCACAAAACGAAGTCCCTTTGAGCTAACTCCGACTTTTCGTGATATATCCATCCATACCGATAGCCGACTATCTCCAGCTAGTTGGAATGGACCTGTCGTCCAATTTGAACTTCGGCAGATACATTGAATCCATGGCCAAAAACGCAGCAAGGAAGTTTGGCATCCTTTCCAGAGTGAGGCGTTACTTTACACCGGGACAGTTGCTCCAGCTGTACCAAGCACAAGTCCGGTCGTGCATGGAGTACTGGGGCCACCATTCGGATGGCTCTGCTAAATATCAACTGGTCACTTTGGATTCAATTGACAATCGTGCCAAGAGGCTTATAAGTGACTCAGAATTAGTGGAAGCGAAGCTGCAAAGCCTTGAACACCGCCGTGTAGTAGTTTGCTTATTGGTATTTTACAGCATATATCGCGGATGCGATGGAATTACACGATTTAATTCCGTCTTCCCCTTTCCATCATCGGGGGACCAGGCGTAGGCTTGGGTTCCACTCCTATGTTGTGGATATTCCAAAGATTCGCACGAAGCGTTACGCATCACATTTATATGGCGAACGGCTATGGAGTGTCAACAATGACCAATTACTTATAAAAATGTTGTTGGGTGTTGCGGGATTTACTACTCAGTTAATGAAATTCTTCTGTGCGTATTTTCAAGATAGAAAGCAGTACGTTGAATACGAAAACTTTAAATCTTCCCCTTATACAGTTGCTTCTGGTATAGGGCAAGGTAGCAGTCTCGGCCCTTTCCTTTTTTTACTGCTTGTGAATGACCTTCCTACATCTGTAAAATCTTCTGTCTGCCTTATGTTTGCTGACGATGTCAAACTCGCTTTGCCGGTGATGTGCACCGCGGATTTTGATCTACTCCAAGCTGATATTAACAGCATTTTCGCTTGGAGCCGGGACAACAGCTTGGAGATGAATGTTGAGAAGTGTTCAGTGATGTCTTATTCCCGGAGAGATCCAATCCTCAATGAGTACAGCCTCGGTGGCACGACCTTGAACCGTGTAAAGTCTGTTCGTGATTTGGGAGTAAGATTCGATTCTGTACTCAAATTTAACGATCATGTTATAGATATATGTAATAATGCTTGGAAAAGTCTTGGCTTCATCGAGCGGCAATCTAAGTTTTTTGACCATCGACAGGCAATTTGTAATTTATATAACGCCTTTGTTCGAAGTAAATTGGAAGCTACGGGTACAGTGTGGAATCCCCACAATAAACTCCATATAGCAATGTTGGAACGAATCCAGAAATCATTTTTGAGATATTTGTATAGTAAACTTTATGGGTACTATCCTTATTGTACTCTACACCCTTTACTTTGGGCTTGGTATCGTACAGATCGTTTGAGATCAGGCGAAAACTGGCGCTCCTAAAATATATTTTCAACCTAATGAGAGGATATATAATTAACCTTCCTTTATTGGTTCAAATTTCTTTTTTTATCCTGCGTTATTGCGCCAATCTCACGCTACGTCCTTCGTCAGCGCAAATACTTTCTATTCAACTTTAATTTAACACGCACAGTGACACTAGGACAGACACCATTCTTCGAAGCCCTAGCCGTAATTGCATCCTTAAGCAAAAAAATGATATTGACGTGTTCAGCAACACTGAATTAAAATTTATAAACATCCGCCGGTTACTATTTGGAGGCGGTCACCGCCCAAAGCTCTGTGGTCCAACTTCCGCATCCTATCTTTGGCCGGGATCGACTCAACCATTTTTGCGACTATGACTTATATGTTTCGTTGTAAGTACTGTAAGTGTAAGTTGTACAAAATAAATAAATAAACTTATATTTTATATAAATAAAAATTTAATTTTTCCTTGCGATTTTTTGTGTTAAGTTGATATAAAAAGAATACGTGTCTTCATCAATTATTTTTTGTAGTGGCGGGTGTTGAAGTTTTTTTATCTTGCCTAAGTGGGCGGTGAGCCAAAAAAGTTTGGGAACCTATGATGTAAGGCATCGTAAAACCACGACACCTTTCGCCATTTCGCATATACAGTGACTTCTCCTTGTAGTGTCCATGATTCTGTTATTAATGAGTGAGTGATAATTTTGTCAAAATAACGGTAAAAGATTGAATAATTCATATTATAAAGTGAACTAACTCGAAAGTAATTTAACATTTTTTTAAATTACAAATGACAATCATTTACTGAATTATGAGAATATACTGCCATATTTCTGAATATACGCATATATGTGTTCGTGTGTATTTTTGTCTACCTACATTGTTGACTGCTTATATTGTTAGTGCGTTTTTTATGTATTTTAATTTTTCAGTATTATTTATTCTAATGATAAATAAATATTTTTTAACCACATTTTTTGGGAAATTTACAAAATAGATAAAAAAATGTATTAGTACACTTCACTGGTGCAAAATACGACAAATCTATTTGATATGTACACAGCGATTATTAAGATTTAATATTTCTTATTTCATTTTTAATTTGTTTTGTAAATGTCCAAAAAATAAGTATGTAATACATGTTAAAAATTGATCAGCTAATTTTATAAGACCCTGTATACATGTTATGTACAGCAAAAAAATGAAAAATAGATAATTCTTTCTCACAGGAGAGGAAGACTGCCTTCTCATAGTGGGTGCCACGAATCGCCCCCAAGAATTGGACGAGGCAGCGCGGCGGCGCCTTGTTAAGCGACTCTACATCCCATTGCCTGATGTTAATGTAAGGACAACTTACGCGTAGGAAAATGATTCCTTAAAGGTGGTCTCAGATGGAGTGAACTGAAGTGTTATCGGCATTGTGTATTGCACTGTGCTTTCGTTCGTATCTCTAGTCATGATCTAGTTGAGTTAGAACCTTACGTTTTGTCATGTAGGTTTACATCTTTTCTATTATCACGCATGGTATTTTGGTGGAGGATACGTTTGGCTACTCGGGTTACCATTGCAAATATCACAGTTCATAAATAACTTTATACCCTTTATACACATGAACTACATCTGCATAACAAAAAAACGAATATAAAATATTTTTGCAGTGTAAAAAAAACTTATGAAATACTTTTTTTACTATTTAGTGTAATCCGCAAAAAAAACCGCTGTCTCTTCTAGAAATTTTATCAAGATTATATAACATAATGTAAATAAAATCTCAATAAAATAGAATAATCATCGGCTTATTGCAAGAAGTCACTAACTGACAAAAACAAAAATTTCAGGAGAGCAGTTAATAATTTTTCTTATATTCAACAGCCATCAGAAGTACTGATTAAAAAAATTAAAAAATATGGCATATTTCTTGAAATTTTTGTTTTTGTCAGTTAGTAACTTCTGGTAATAAGCCGAAATAGTCATGTATTTTACATTGTCTACAATGCTAAGCAAGCAAAGAAGCAGAGAAAAGTGTTGCCACATGGCAAATTAAGATTAACACGGAAATTAGTTTAAGGTTCACATGATTAAATATTCCCAACAATTTCATTGATGTTTGTTTCAGGCGCGCGAACAAATAATAACAAATCTCCTGACAAACGAGAACAACGACCTTACGGCCCAGGAGATAGCAGACGTCGCGTCTTTAACGGAGGGATACTCGGGCGCTGACATGAAGTCACTGTGTTCTGAAGCCGCTATGGGGCCTATTAGGGCTGTGCCTTTATCGCAGATCGTCAGTATCGATCGAGATAAGGTACGAATCTGTATAACACATCATACCCTCATGATATAATTTTATCTAACACTGTAAATATTGCTTTGAATTCTTAGTACACAATTTTAGGTAAAGTAGTTTTTTTATGATACAAAGTGATGGGAAGAACAAGTCGTGCACCTGGTGGTAAGCGTCACGCCTGTCCATAACAGTTCCAGTGCCACTCTAGAGCTTTAAATCGCAAAGATATCAGAGGCGGTTACCTATCACAAGCTAGAAACATGGTTTGCAGAATTTTGTTTCTCTGAAAAGACTTTTATTGAATAGATTTTGCTTCATTTGTTCGAAAACACGTTACGGTTTTTTTCATTACACCATTTAATGTTTCACTATTTTGACATGTAGACAAGTTGTTCTTTTCCCGAATTTTATATCCCCAACAAACCGTTTGACACGTTTGAAACGTTTATCTGTAATAAGAAATAACATAATTTCTTATTACAGATATTAAAAGTGTTGGAACGTGTCGCACAATACAACTCGTCAAATTAAAGCACCTAGCATCTTTGAAAATATGGTAAACGAGATGCAAGTTAATTTGATCGAGTTGTAGTCGCTTGCTTCCCTCGTTCGGATCGTGCTGCTTTTTCATATACTGACCTAACCCAAACCCACAGGAGGGGGTCGTACCGTCTAGGTAATGCAAACAAATTCGGCTCTGGCACTCGCCGGTCGCTGCCGTGTCACGCTCGCAACGCTCGTTCGGCTCGTACGGCTTTTATATATACTAAACTAACCTAAATCTGCAGGAGGGGATCGTATCGTCTAGATAATGCAAACAAATTCGGCTCTGGCACTCGCCGGTCGCTGCCGTGACACGCTCGCAACGCTCGCTCGGCTCATACGGCTTTTATATATACTAAACTAACCTAAATCTACAAGAGGGGGTCGTACCGTCTAGGTAATGCAAACAAATTCGGCTCTGGCGCTCTCCGGCCGCTGCCGCGGCACGCTCGCTTGCCTCGCGCGGCTTTTTCATATACTAACCTAACCTAAACCCACAGGAGGGGGTCGACCTAGCTATGAAATGCAAACAAATTCGGTTCTGGTACTCTCCTCGATTCAGTTATAAGTTATTTATTGAATACTCGAGACCATTGTTTTTAAATTACATTTTAGATGACAGCAAAAACATAGCACAACGGTATGACGAAAATTACGTAAGTGGACTTGCTGTGCACCAGCAAAGTACAGTCCCGACTTTTGGAGCTGTACGGTAAAAGTGTATGGCGGTACAATTTTATCTAAGAATAATAATTTTGTCGAAACGAATTTTCAGCAATCTAACTTATATGGAAAACAGACAGTATAACAAACATAACTAGACCAAACAAACTTCGGCCCAAAGAATACGTATGTGTAATAATTATTCTAATAATAGGTCTTCGGACAAACGATACTTCTGCTGTAAGACATTTCTGTGTTGCAAATTTATACCAAAACTGCCATCGCACTAATGAAAAAAAGTCGAATCGTTTTCGGAGTAATTCCTTTATTATTCGTTCGAGTTTGTGATAGGTTACCATCAGAGGCATTGGAACTGCGGTCGTCACTCTGAGACGTAGTAAGTTGACAAGTCCTATGAGTCTGTAATTTCACCAGCACCCTTATCCGTCAAAACCGAAACGCTGTAATGCTCACATTACTGCTTAACGGCAAAAATAGGTAAGTGGCAGTACTTCCCTGGAGGAACTCTTTCAAACCCAGATACCCCGTACAACGTTGGAAATTTATTATCCTACTACTACTTACTAAGTACAGCAAAGCGCAGTCTGTGCACATGCGCAAATGTGTGCGTGAAGAGGCAGGGTTACCCCACTACTTTATGGTACTATTAATTCTTTGGTTTAACGTGCACATTAACTTTGTAAGAGCAAACGAATATATTATATATGTAAATGATAATAGGCATTACGTATACTAATGATTTTATTCATTAAATACTAAACATATAAATAGCTTTAACAAAAGACGTTAACTAAACATAATAAGTGAATAACACTACAGCATAAATTACTCTAAAATATTTTCTTTTCAATGTCTTATCTCTAAATAACCTGTTATGAAATCACATCAAAGTCGTACTTAGCTAATGGCTCGCTGACAGCCTTGTTGCCGTCCCGTCAATTTGACCATACAAGATGAGGGGCGCAGTGTGGTATCTAAAGCTAAGGAAGGGCGGAAAGCGACCATGTTACTTTTTATTCTCTGACAAGGCTCTCTACTGCTCCATAGAGTGATCCAAGAATTTATTTCACAAATACGTTCATTCGATTTTTTCAAACTGACCAGCCTATGTTAACAAATTGTATGTAACCTTCATTTTTACTCTCACTCTGCCACGCTAGGTTCGACCGGTTTGTGTGGATGACTTCAAAGCCGCCTTGCAGCGAGTGCGCCCAAGCGTGTCACAAGATGACCTGTGGCAATACGTCAAGTGGAACGAAACTTACGGTCAAGGATTTTAATAAATAAAACTCGTTACTGTTTCGTAATTTGTATTTTTTAAATTCCTCTATAATTTAGTTTAAATTGCTTTTACTTATCTATTAATTAAGTATTAGTTAAGCAACATGACATGTTCTTGGCACTGCACGGTCAGATGGTAGGAAAGGGGGCACTACGGATCTAATCTAACGGAAACAAACCCTAAAAACAATTCAAAACAAAAATTTTCTGTCCAGTTTCCATAATACCATACCACCACTACTCTCATTATGTCTGACACTAACTGCGCTTAATTTTCTCATCGACATTTGTAGATATATTCCTAGGAGTGAAGTGGACATACCTATAGCAAGCCTATAGCTTGAATATGTCCAATCTTAGGTAGAGAAAGAGCAAGAGTAAATTTTGCCACGACACGGATAAAACTCCTATGCACTTACCTAATGCCACTCCTAGATGGAACTACTAAATTCCATACTAGGAAGGCACAGTACAAAGCCAGGAGAATCCTTCACGTTTTATGTAGCAGCGTTGGCCTTCATTCCGAAGTGTAGTGATCAAATAGAACAATAAATGATCGCAATAATGAAGGTGTGCAAGATCTGTAATGAAGCCACCCTAATAAAAATAATACTCAGGGTCCAATTAACTCAACGTGAGCTTGTTCTCTGTAAGAAAGTACCCCCACAAAACAGTGAATTACCGATATTATTGGAATCGATAAAATTTGCTTAAGCAGAAGTCATTGGCGATGTTATGACGATTGATATTAGTTTCTATACTTTATACTTTTAGTTGGCTGGCGAAATACTAAAACGGCACTACCAATAATTAAAAATAAGAAGAACTTTAACCTTTGATTAGAACGTAACGGCAACCGACTATTGTAATAATATCGACGTTGACAAACTGTCGTCAGATATTGTGTTAATGAAAACCATTATAACTTTATATTTAAAAAAAAACGATTTCAAAAGTTTGCTTATCGACTATTTTATTGAAATGACATCTATTTGCCTAGTTTTATTGAAGTCGGTTAACGGAAAGTGCGCGAAATCTCATTCAGCCCCTGCTTTACCACCCTTATTTTCTTCAAATTGAAATAGGCCCACAGCCTACCAATACTGAGATACCCTCTTTACAACAAAAAAAGAATCATCAAAATCGGTTCACAAACATACACATGAAAAAAGTACAGTAGAATTGAGAACCTCCTCCTTTTTTTTTAAGTGGGTTAACAATACATCAAGGCACAGTCGTTTCTAAAAGTTTATTTCATTCATTTCATTACAGTCGATCGTTTTTCCATATAAATTGTGCAATTAAATATTATAAAAAACTTCGACACAGCTGATTGTCAATGTCATTTTTATTATTGCGTTGCATGAGCGGGAAACTCGTTCTTGTGTCTTTTCTCAACTGTAAACACGTTTTTGCGAATCTGGATTTCATTATATTGTGCAAGTTGTATTTACATTCTTCCGATGCCGCTGCAAATTAACATACGTTAAAATGGAACAAGAAAATCGAGTCGTTGTCTTGATCGATATGGATTGTTTTTATTGCCAAGTGGAGGAGAAACTGGACCCTGAATTGAAAGGAAAACCAATAGCTGTGGTGCAATACAACCCCTGGAAGGGTGGAGGGTGAGTAACATGGTCCAAGAACAGTGTTTTAATATTGGTGAAATTTAACCTCAAAAGCTAAGCAGTCCTTGGCAGCATAAGAGTCAATTATTTCCAAAAATCCATTGAAAAAATCATAACTCGAAAACTACGAAAAACAGCGGAACAGTGATTCGGATACCCCTCAATATGAGGCACTAACATTTTTTTTGAGGCGCCAACTTTTTTTTGGACGTCACTGCCCCGCCCACCCTGTATAATAATAATAATAATGTGCACACACTCATAGCCCCGCCCTAGGGAAACCCTGTATTGCAGATGCCAAGGACACACACATAGACAGCCACAAATTACACCCAATCTCACAAGATAAATAAATGTAGGCCATACAAAAATTTCTTATTGCCCGGGAATCAAACCCAGGACCTTTGCATGGCAGTCCAGCATGGTAACCGTTCAGCCACGGAGGCAATAAAAGTGATTCAAAGAAGATGAGTCAAAGTTGTGTGTCAGGGTCGTAGCAAGAGGAAGCCTACCCCTATGAGAAAGTATGTTTGTAACAATTTATTACTGCATGAAGTATAATATATAGTTTAAGTTATTTTAGTTAATAGTTTATCAACTACATGATATACATATGTATGTTTTAAACATAGGGCACTAAATCTAATCTAAACATTGCCTATGTATTACTTGTACATGTGTTACCCACATCTTTAACTATTCGTTTGAGATTAATTCCATATTTCCAGTATAATAGCAGTAAACTATGAGGCGAGAGCAATGGGAGTGAAGAGAGGCATGAGGGGTGATGAAGCCAAGGAAAAGTGTCCAGATATAGAACTGCCTTCAGTGCCTTGTAATAGAGGAAAAGCAGACATTACTAAGTAAGTATTCATAAGCTCTGAAGCTGTCTACAGTGCCAAACACTGTAGAGAAGCTCTGTCACTAGACAGGAATGGGGTCAGAATACTGCCTAGAGTTGTTAAGGCTCTAGTCAGTGTTGTGTGTGTCAAATATTGGGTAGATAGAGAACAGAGAGTGTAGATTCTGCCATAAGGCGGATGAAACTCCTGTGCATTTCCTCACCCAGTACTGCCCCCCGATGGACATACGAAGTTCCACAACCAGAAGACATAAAAACTGTCGGAATGAGGAAGGTCCTTCAGTTCTTTAATGCTGTTGGCCTTGGGTCTAAACTGTAACTAGTGGTGATCACAGTCAGTAGTTCATTTAAAGGTCGCAGTGATGAGGGACTGCATAGACTCTGAACGAAGCCATCCTAATAATAATAAGAGTAGGGTGGCCCTCAATACCTGCCCTAGCTACACCTATGCTTCCATTCAATTACCAGCTATTTTGTTATGTTTCAGGTACCGAGATGCTGGGAAAGAAGTGGCTAGAGTATTGCAAAAGTTTACACCACTGCTGGAAAGAGCATCTATTGATGAAGCGTATCTGGACATAACAGTTCCTGTAAGTTTATTATAGACTGGTTTTAAAGGGTTGCTTGGCTATCTTCAGAAAATGAGTCAAGGCTGTTACTACAACTTTTCTTTTAATCAGCACATAACCAGGCTTTTCTGAATATTTTCATATATTCCAGGTTGACGAAAGACTAAAAACCCTCAATGTAAACTCTATAACAACGGATCTCTTGCCAAACACATTTGCCCTAGGATATCACAGCATAGATGAGTTCGTAACTGATGTGCAGTGTGGGGGCGGGGATTCGATAGATTTTGATTACAATCATGCGAGGCGATTACTGGTTGGTGCAGTTCTTGTTAGTGAGGTTCGAGCTGCTGTTTTTGAAGAAACCGGTAAGACCATGACAGGTTTTTGTTTTATGGAGTTGCTATCATTTAGTATGTTTACCTGTTAGGAATGGTCAGCAACAAGATTATCTTGGAATTTGAGCTCTTCAAAATAAAATCAATAATTTTTATATTTATATTTTATAATTGACTTAAGTTCAGCTAATTTTTGACTGTATACTTTTAGCAACAAATGATACCATACATTACTAAAAAAAGTCGCCTGAATGACATGTGCTTTCACATTCCAGGATACAGATGTTCAGCTGGTATAGCACATAACAAAATCCTAGCAAAACTGGTTTGTGGTATGAACAAGCCCAACAAACAGACAGTGCTGCCTAAACATTCTATCGATATCCTCTACAAGTATGTATTCTCAGAATTGACTGTATAATGGTTCCATTACTGAGACAGCGCCCGTATTACGAAACATTTGTTGTGTTACAGCACTTTATCAATAAGGAAAGTAAAGCACTTGGGCGGGAAGTTTGGAGACACTGTGTGTGATGTGCTAAAAATCAAGACCATGGGAGAGCTACAGAAATTTTCAGAAAAGGAACTGCAAGCAAGATTTGATGAGAAGAATGGGTATGTGTTCTATATCTATTTGATGTAACTTAAACTGGGATTGTGGCAGATTATAATGCTATTGTCTGCTATTGTATGCAACTAACCTAAGCGCATAAGTTCAATAATATCTACATACCATAATTTGTTTGGACAGGTCATGGTTATACAACATAGCACGTGGCATTGACCTGGAACCAGTTCAGGCAAGGTTCAACCCAAAAAGTATTGGATGCTGCAAACAATTCCGCGGAAAAAGCGCTCTTATCGACTTGGAGAGCTTAAAGAAATGGCTCAAAGACCTTGGGGATGAAATTGAAGATCGACTAGAAAAAGACGCAGTGGAAAATAATAGGACGCCAAAACAAATGGTTGTCAGTTTCTCGACGCAATTGCCTGATGGAAGGGACATGAGTAGTTCGAGATCGTATAATTTTGTGGCAGCAAATGACCTTTGTGGAGATTTTTTTTCGAGTAAAGCATTGGAGCTGGTTTTGGATAGTTCTGAAGGTGTTCAACATGTAGGTATGTATGTAATGAAAGAAGTTGCATGATATTTAAATTTAGTAATTGAAATAAACAACCTAGAAATATTTCAGATCATTAAAAACTGTTTGACTGCTTGTTCAATTTCAGAAGGAGAAAGCAACAGAAAACTAAAAGCTCCAATCAAATTCCTCGGAATCAGTGTTGGGAAATTCGAAGACAACAACGAAATTAAGAAAATCAGGAAAATTAATGACTATTTCGGTGCTGGTTCATCAAATGCTAATAATGATAAGGAAAGTGTAAAACATAATGACGTTAAAGAATCTCTTATAGAAAATAAACAAATGAACAATGAAGATGAGAATAAACAAAAGAAAAATAAAGATGAAAGTAAACAAAAGACAAGCGAAGGTAAATATTACATAATGCAAAAATTCTTAGTGGCAGCTGATAAAAGTAAAGATCATGCTAGCTTCAAAATTAAAGAAGAAAAAACTTCGCCACAGGCAAACACAGCCACTGTAAAGCCTATATGTGAATCTACACTAGAGAAACAGGAATCCTTTTTTGCAAAATTCCTGAATAAAACTAAAGAAGCACCCAATAGTGACGTAATAAGGCCTACAACGCCCGTTTGTAACGTAGTTAACCGTGGGGAAGACAGTAATGATACTAATTATTCTGGATCGACCATAAATGACGAAATTAATAAAAGTATCGCTTTGTTCGATGATGACCCAAAATATGTGGAACAAGTCGGCAACATGAGGGATCAGCTACTGAATAAAACAAATACTGGTATAAATGAGGAAGATGTTATTGAACCTCTTTTACAAACTGATATAAAAATAGCTCCAGAATCTAAGTGTGACAATATCGAAGAGGAACCAGGAACTTCAAGACGAACAAATACATCTACACAAGTACTGAATACTTTTGAATGTTCTGAGTGTAGGAAAATAATTCAAATGGACATGATTGATACACATTCTGATTACCATCTAGCACTGAAATTGCGAGAAGAAGAACGCCAACGCGTTAGGAATGAAACCAAAAGCAAGACTGCTCCAAAAGTTGTTAAAGAAACAAATACAAATTCTATGAAGAAGAAAACTGTAATTGAAGATAATAGTAGTAAAAATGATCCAGGAACATCAATAGCAAATTTCTTCTTGAAATTTGATGACACAATGCCTGTAGAAACGTGCTCTGAATGTGGGAAAAAAGTGCCTCTGGATAATTTTGCAGAACATTTAGATTTTCATGAAGCTCAAAAACTTAGTAGAGAATTGAATAAAAGGGATACTCCGAGTTATGTTGTGGGTAACAGTGCGAAGAGGAAAAAGAAATCTATTTCACCCATGAAAAAGCCCAAGTTACATTCTATTTCTACAAAATCTATCGATTCGTTTTTTAGGTAGCAGGTGGTGGCCGTTAGTAAAAATTTTTTGAAGAGAATGATAAAGAGAATCTCTGTTTTATTGAGGGCTGTTTATGTTGCGTTAGAGCGATAGCCCACTTTGTTAGCCACGTATCAGCACCGCGCCTATACGAAACATTCGCTTCATACTGGGTATCGTTTCGACGCTTAGTAATAACCAGCAAAAATATTGATATCGATGTACTTGTTAAATGATGTTTTTATGAGAAGTTAAAATGTATATGTATATCAGACCTTACGATAAACTTTGTTATATGGAACAAAAAAAATTATTTACCCAAAATCTTATTTTCATCAATCTTTTTTCATCCATCCATTATAACTGAAAGCACGAGTCTTGATTTTCGGTGTAATTAAAACTATGAAGAACGAGGTACGAGTGTTACCAGCACTAATGTGGAAATGTATGGATACCTTTCTACATTCGTTTTGATTTACCTACCAACCCTCAGGGTATATGGGAAGGGCACTATGACCTACGCGAACATATCCGCCCAGGGACCATCTAAGTCAGGTCCCAAACTCAGATCAGCCCGTTTGCACGGACTTCATCCGGTTCTCTAGGGCCTTAGGTGAGCCGCCCTAGGTGTAAGTACAACACCCTATTTTCTATATAGGTACCGGAGCTGCAGGCAAGCTCACTTCCCGTCGCGACTAACTGTTGCTATCGCTGGTACGATACGAGTGCTGCTAGTTTTTTTTCTTTTATATGTCTTTGTTATTCTTTTTAAGTTTCTATATATTATTTCCTTGATGGCGGCCACTAGGCTTGGGCCAGTATCTATTTCATATATATTATCGGTTAATACTGATTGACAACGCCAACGATTGCCCAATAGCGAGTTATTTATTTTTGGAAGAACCTCTTGTTGTTGTGGAGATCATGTTTATGGCAAAAAAACAATCACAGACAAACAATAGACTAAAGAATTTTGGTTGCTGGCTTCTCTTGGAAAATTATGTCAATGTCTTGTATTGTACAAAAGTCAATCATGGGAGTTTTTAATCTTTAATGTTCATAGAGGATGGAATTTTCTCCTTATGAACATGTCACCCTCATACGACACAATGATCTTACATTGTTGGACCTTAGTTTTTTTTATTTGAAAAACATTGGACACTGAACAAAAAAATTTTCCGGCCATGATGTTGGCAAAATTCCAGTAATAGAGAAATAAAATTATTAAAAATAAAATACCAAACGTAAATAATTATTCTGCATAATATAAACGCGTGTCATGTGAAATCCGACTTCGATAAACGTTTATAGTAACATCAAAGTACTCTTTGACAAGCGTCAGATGGCGACTGAACGGGGAGCGGGCGGCTTGTCTTTAAACCGCTAGGCAATTTTCAAATTTTGGGATAAATGTGAAATAACTACAGAACTTCAGTTGAAAACCAAAAATCATGTTCTCTATACTACTTTATCTTCATATAAAAATGTGCAATTAGATATTTTATTCTTAAATAATTCAAATTAATTTAATTAATAATTTTATTTAGCTTGTTTCCAATATTTTATACGATATCGGGTAAAGTACATCCTATCGATAACCTCTCTGTGCCTCGCCTTAATTTTGTGCCCAACAAATCTGGGTGGCGGGAGTGGCTGCTGAAAGTTTATCCATGTCCCTTTTGTCAAACTACAAACTAGATACGAGGTAAAAAATGAAGCGTGTCTTCTGGCGAGCTCTCGTGCAATGTCAGTAATTCCTGTATCGAATCTACTACTTTTTTTAAAGTACCTACCAAGTGACGGGACGAACAAGTTGTATTCTGCTTTCCCTTCTTCCAGAGATAGTCGCAACTCGGCCGCTTCGTCCAACTCCATGGTTAATACTGACTGAAATGTCATCATTATATTATAATATATATCAATCGCTTGCGCGTCGAACGTTTTTTCTGGAGGCAACGCGACGATTCGCGGCAACTTAGCTTTTATTATCTTCTGGACCTAACTTCACTAAATTGGATAATTGCTACCACTGTCATTGACTTTTTGTAAGTCAATGACCACTGTCAACTGCGTCCATGGCAGTATTTAGTATATGCTTGGGTCCCCCAAATATTAAAGAGAAATTAAATAGGACATAGGCAAGTATCAGTATACATGATTGATGATGAATGAATAAAAATCAAACGTTGTATAAATTTACATTTTATTGAAGGTCAAAAAAATTAGATGCTGTAGATCTCATTCTGCACCTTCCTCCAGGCGTCAAGGGGTCCATGCTCAGGGCGGTAGCGCACATTGCAGCCGTCGTTGGCAAGGCGGCCCTCCTCTCGGAGCTTTTCAAACTCCTCACGCTCGTACTTGGTGAATCCCCACTTCTTGGAGACGTAGATCTGAATGGAATGGAGGAAAGATCTTTTCATCACACTTGCACGTAAATAGTATAATTGCATGCAGGCTAACTTGACTATAATGCATAGGAAATTAAACTATTTTTCCGGATTTAAATCGCGTATATTTGTTTTTTCAAACAAACGGTTGAGTCAACCGTGACCATGGGACCTGTAAAGGGCCCGAAACGTCGGTTTGTTTGAAAAAACAAATATACGCGATTTAAGTCCAGAAAAATAGTTTCATTTCCTATGTGTAACAATCGCGAAAACCTAACTTGACTATAATGCCCCAAATAAAACCCTCCCGCCTTTTTTCTTCTCATTACAGCCATGGATGTGCTTCTAATAGTCTCGTTCGTAATTCCTTATTTACCGCCCTTAAAACACAATGTACAGTCGGTGCCACTATTTATACTACGTGCTATACAAATAGTGGATACATAAGTGAGGGCACCGACTGTAGTATAAACAAACCAATAGCTAACAGCTCTGAGCTGCACACATACAAATTTTTTACACTAGTAGTAATAAATAGTCCTAATATTATTTCGTCCACACGGAAAATCGGTTTTACGACATTAAAAATACGAATTCAACTTGTTTTTGTAATTATTGATAGTGAATGAATGATTAAACTTTGCTCGATTAAAAATCACAAAGTTTCGCAAAATGTAATTTTTTTACTACATTCTATGGAAAAATCAGGTTTCGTTCAATTGTTAATAGAGATATTTCAATGAAATTTTCTCTCCCGTGTTCCGTAATACATGCATCAGGAGATTGAGCTTATTTTACAGCAAGAGAGTTCATGTTTAAATGCTTCAAAATAGGCAAAATTTACGATGTAAGGCATACTTTCTCAAAGTGGTCCCTAAAATTGGGGGGCCCAAGTGGGCTCTGAAGAGGCCTAGAATGGGTGGTCCTATGTAGCAATTGAGCAATTGATGCTGTCCATGGGGTATTACCGCGTTTGAAAAAAAAACCTGAATTATATAAATTACACGACATACAATTTTTTTAGTAACCTATCACAAAGTCGAAAATTTTTTGTCCGAAATAACGTTTGTTCGAATTTTCATTAACACCGAAAACCGAATTATAACGAAATAGTTGTTCTTTCAGGACATGTTGAATGTTTATCGCAAAACCACGATTAGGTTCGGTTAGGTTAGGTTAAGTTTTTCAAAAATAACGTTTGTTCGAATTTTCATTACACCGAAAACCGAATTATAACGAAATAGTTGTTCTTTCAGGACATGTTGAATGTTTATCGCAAAACCACCATTAGGTTCGGTTCGGTTAGGTTAAGTTAGGTTTGAAAGAAAAAACAATTTCCTCTCAAAATTACTGCCGAGGTTATGAAATTTCGACCAAACGTTGTTTCTGGAAAATGTCATTTCGGATTACTGATAGGTAACCAATTTTTTTTTCTGTGATTTTTTTTGTATAAAAATAATACGAGTTTTCAATTTTTTGTGGTGGTGGGCGTTGAACTTTATTTATCTTGCTTGAGTGGGCGGCGGTCAGCCAAAAAGTTTGGGAACCTATGATGTAAGGCATCGTAAAACCACGACACCTTTTCGCCATAAAGGACTATAGGCTCACCTTCTGGCGACCAGGGAACTTGAACTTGGCACGACGCAGGGCCTCGATGACCTGCGCCTTCCAGCGGTCACTGGAGCGCACTGACATGATGGGCTGACCGATACGCACACGCGCGACTGTACCTTGCGGCTTACCGAACGCACCACGCATCCCAGTCTGGAGCCTGGAATAAGGAAAGAGAAATCCTATTTAAAAAATGTATAGTTGCACAAACATTTCGATTTTAAAGTAAAAAATAATTTAGGGAGGACCATTCCAACAAATTGTTACAATGCAAACTGTTTTAACATCATCAAGTGATCATCATATTACTCAAATAATAGCATAATAATTATTCAGTTATTGGTAAGCAAAGTTTAGAAATGTCATGAAACAATACAATTCAAATGATTTAAAGGACAATCATCAAGCAAAAATACAGTTACAAAGTTATTAAAAAAAAATCTTTTTTAATACAGGAATTGCCAATTTTAACGTCACACAATTTGATAAATAAATATTAGACAACATCACATATACATATTACTCTGATCACAAAGTCACTAAAGTTTTGTATCTATGTGTTGTGGCGTTGCAATAAATGTCTATTCTATTCTAAAGCACCTGTGTTATGGAAATTGGAACAAAGAAAAGTTCGTTTCTACATTGACCCGACTAGGAATCGAACCTCAGAGGTGGCAACACTATGAAAATCGGTGTGCTAAACACTCGACCATGGAGGCCGTCGATGCTAAATCGTCGCCTCGTGAACTTAAATAAATTGCCATTGTACAGTCAACAGCACATCAAGTTATAAACTTTTGTCACCTCCAGAGTAACAGAATGAGGCCTGTCAATGTGTAGCTTGATATGCTGCTGTCTGTAAAAGTATAATAATAAATTATTATGTCTTGGGATAATTCTTTATTATCAGAGTAAGGGTAATAAATAAGTCACTTTTGTTTTGGAAAAGCTGCATAATAATAACACACACACTCAACTAGCCCCGCACTAGGGAAACCCTGTGTCGCGGGTGCCATGGACACACATAATATAGACAAGCACAATTTACACCCAAACTCACGAGAGAAACAAATGTATATATATATGTCCGGCATGGTAACCGTTCGGACACAGAGGCAGTTTAAACTAGTACAAACTAAATATAAGCCAAAAGACAGGTTGCGCATGTCCAAAATTTTCGTATCTACAATCTAGCCAAATTCGATGTAGAGTAAATGTCAACAAACAAAAAAACATGAGTTTTAGGGTTTTCACAGTGTGGCAGCAGTTTTCATGTTCAGGTTATTCACATTGAAACTAGACTAGACCGTCGGTAGCCGGACTATAGTCCTTATAGAAGCTCCCTTACGATATCTATTTCTATTTAAAATGATGTTTTATTATACACTGTGTTCCCCAGGCTCCATGTTTCATATTAATCATTCATGATGTTTTATTAAATGACATTTATATATTTAAAAACTTGTTTTATATGAATTTACAGCTTATAAACATTAATAATAAATAGTAGATAGGAATTAGTACATAGTAAACATGACTTGTTATTTGCCTTAATTTTGCGCGACAATTTCACCAATGTCAAGGTTAAAAGACTAATAAAAAAATAAAAATTGTTTATTCAGTAACATAATGTACAGAGAAAACTAAAGACTACTTATGCGATTTAATGTAAAAATAACCCATGTACCTGAACTAGGAAATTCCTGTATTTCAGGTAAAAAGTACTACTAATTATAAATGTGGATACTATTAATATTATAAATACTTTTTAGGAGAATCTTATGAAATAAAATTAAACAATTAAATAATAAATTGCCGTTAAAAAAAAAATAAAAAAAATAAATAAAAAATGTACACTTAAACAAGACAACATTTAATTTACGATAATAAATAAATTCTCTGTATCCTCATAGGACATATTTTGAAGAGCTTCTTGGAGAATTTTCTTTACCTTAAAGCAACAGAAATTATAAATGGAATATTTAGCGTTTAATTTGTTGTACAAAAATGGTCCAAGAAACACAAAAAATCTTGAAATAAAAGTATGTTTTGATGATATAATTTTGGGGCAGACAATATCTTTTCGTCTTTTATTAGTGTTTTCAGTAATATATGGGAGCAATACGTGCTGTTTGAGGACTGTGGACTTAATGAATAATTGCCTTACAGTTAATACTTTACATGACTTATACAGAAGGTCAGTGGGGTAACGGAAAGGGCGGTAGGTAGAAACCTTTAGGACAGCTCGCTGGGCTCTTTCAATGATTAGTAAAGTAGTTTTAGCTATACCACCCCATGATGTAATGCAGTAAGTAATTAATGATTGGCATAATGCATAATAAACTTGCCTGATTATTTTAAAATCAGCAGAAACGCGCAGTTTTTTAAACACAAACATTAACTTACGGAGTCGGGCGCTTAGTGCTTCGATATGGTGTTTAAAGGATAGGATGTCATCTAATATAACACCTAAATACTTTATCTTGTTAGTAATAGCAATGTCTGGACATTTACACAGGTTGTTAGTAGGGTCAAAACAATGGTGAGCATATAGTTTAGGGTTAGATATAAATGACTTTGATTTCCGCATATGGAATTGCATAAAACAAGTTTTATCCGTATTTAGTGTTAGCAAATGATGTTGGAGCCAGTTATTTACTATATTGAATCCACGCTGTGCATAGTCGTATACCTCCTTGTCAGAGTTTGCAGAAAAGAGTAGAACAGTATCATCAGCATAGGATATGATCTTTCCACCTTGTAAATCTAGGTTACAAAGGTCATTAATGTAAATCAGAAAAAGTGTTGGTCCTAAAATACTTCCTTGAGGAATTCCAAATGAAGTGCACTTCAGATCAGAACTGTGAATGTCACCTATTTTAACACATTGGGATCGGTCCTCCAGGTAGTTTTCGAGTAATTTAAGCTGTATGCCCCTTATACCAAGCGATTCAAGCTTCTGTAACAGCACAGGGATGTAAACTGTATCAAAAGCCTTCGCTAGGTCTAGAAAAATACCCACAGTTTTGTTACCCTTGTCTAGTTCCCTTGCTACAAAATTCGTAAGGTGATGCACGGCGTCAGATGTCGATAATTTAGATCTAAAACCGAACTGTGTTTTAGATAATATGGAATGTCTCTCCAAATACAAGACAAGTCTATTGTTAATAAGTTTTTCTAATATTTTAGATATTGCTGGCAGTAACGAAATAGGTCTATAATTAGTTATTTGTTCTTGGTTACCAGATTTATGTACCGGGACCACAACAGCTTTTTTTAAACACGTGGGGAATATTCCTTTTGTTAAACATTTTTGCAAAATGACCGTAAGCGGTGAAAGTAGAATGTGCCTGAATTGTTTTAGTATTTTGTTAGATATGTTATCACAACCAGTAGCACTATCGTTTTTTAAGCTTACAATTATTCTTTCAACCTCACTTTCATCCGTATCTAATAATACAAATGATCCCAGAGACTTACTACAGATTGATTGAGAGCAACGTGGTTGAGTAAGCGGAAAACTCCGGATTTTTTGTGCCAGATTTTTACCTGCATTAACGAAAAATTCATTTGCTTTGTTAACAGCAATACGATCAGATGAGTGGCTTTTTAATAATCCTGTAGATGATTTATGCTGTTTCGATATGTAGGTTACATTTTTTATATATTTCCAAACCTTTTTACTGTCTGTACCAGCTTTTTCCAATTCTTTTTTATCATAACAGCTTTTAACTTTTTTAAGTAGATCGTTACAAAAGTTCCTATATCTTTTGTATGATATTTGTAGAATTAAATTAGCTGGATTACTTTTTGCCTTCATATGTAGTTTATCCCTATGACGCATACAGCGAATAAGTCCTGGTGTAATCCAAGGTTTGATATTGTAATTTTTACTATTTAATCGCATGACCTTGCTATTACTTAATATTGATTGCTGTACATTATTTACTAAGTAAGACATACAATAATCCGCGTCATCAGAATTATAAACTGGGTTAAAGTCAATGTTGCATAAATCTTCTTCAAGTTTATTTATATTAATTTTAGAAATTATTTGCGTGCGAGTTGAATTAAGCAATTTATAATTTAAGGTTAGTAGGGCAGCTTTATGATCGGTTATTGTAGAGTTAGTAACTAATGTTATTGATTTAAAAATAGATTTAAGCATAATATGGTCTAAGCAAGAGCCGCTTTGATGTGTAGGGAGAGTGTGGGCGGGTAGTAATCCATGAAATGAGCATAGGTTTAGGTATTCTTGCGCACAGGAATCGATGCTATGTGGGAGAATGTTTATGTTTATGTCTCCTATTAATACTACATTTTTAAAAGTTGATAAAAGTTGTAACGTATCGTTAAGTGAGTCAGTAAACATTTTGGTATTTCTAAAAGAGGGGGGTCTGTACAATGCTAATATTGCAATGTCTGTTCCAATTTTGATTAGGAGCCGATTGCAGTCCAACATACTTGGTTCTTCAACCGAGATATTTAAATTATTCCTAGTATAAACCACTATACCGTCGTTCTGGTTGTAATTTTCTTTAGAGCTGTATAAGCTATAGCCTGGCATGGGAGGTAGATTTCTACATTTATCTAACCAGCACTCTGTCAGAATTATGACATCACAGCCAATGTTCATTCTATGCTGAAAAGTACTAAAAGCGTCAAAATTTTTGTAAATGCTGCGTATGTTTTGTGTTAGTATAGAGAGAGGATTGTTAAAGGGTAATAAATAAATAAATAAATAAAATAAAAATAAAAAGACTAATTTATTAAGGACTCAGTGCAGTGGTGAGATAAATTGCCAGTTATTAAAATACTTAAGCGGTTATTATGCAAATTGACGGTTATAATAAAACAGGGTCATTTTTATTATTAGGGTGGTGGGCCTATGCATCCCCTCATAACTGTGACCATTCAGTGATCTATTATGATCACCACTAATTACAGTGCAGAATCAAGGTCGACAGCATTGAACAACTGAAGGCTCTCACAGATTTAAAGTCCCCTGGTTGTGGCATGTGCCTGCCCAGTATGGAACTTCATATGCGCATCGGGGAGTAGCATTAGGTGAGAAGTCAGTCATTTCATCTGCATTGTGGCAGAATCAACATCCTTTATTCTCTCTTTGCCCAATACCATCATCAAAAGAGGATCATAGTAAAAGCTGGCCTAGTGTTTTAAATATCTCGAATTCTTAGGTTTTCACGATTGTCACACAATAGGAAATGAAACTGGCAGGTAGTCGAGACCATAGAACCTGTAAAGGGTCTGAAATGTTGGTTTGTTTAACATAATTTAGATCCAAAAATAGTTTTAATTCTTATAGGTTTAATAAATATCTTCATATCACCTCCACTTGTAGAGAGTGACTAGTTACTAATGAACCTCTTTAGCCCTTTTCCCTCATTTGAGTCTCTTCAATACATTTCCATTTATTATTTGTGCCTGGTCCTTTTTCCAAGGAGCTACCTAATCTGAGTGAGATTAATACATTGAGATGTACCTCTCACCACATTTCCATCAATCATTTACACATAATCATTGACTACCAATTCAATATGTGTAAACTTTTGTTAAACTATAAGACTATTATAAAACATTTCAATGTTAATTTACTTGTAATAAAACACAGCTACATACCTATCAGCTCCAGCGCACGATAACATTTTGTTGATGCGGATAACATGGAATGGGTGAAGCCTCATGCGGATGTGGAACTGATCCTTGCCGCAGTTCTTCACGAGGTATTTGTTGCAACAAATACGGCCCGCCTCCAGCGCCTCCGAGCTAAGCTGCTCGTATTCATCGGACACCAGGTGCACACATAGCGGGAAGTCGTCCACAGTCGCTTTCTTCTTTCCCAAGTCGAAGATACGGATCTTGGGATCAGGCACACCACGGCAAAACCGCGATTTAGGATACGGCTTGTTTTTGCAATAGCGATAACTGAAATTAAATACCACATTTTAAGGAAAATTCACTCAATACACTCACAAATACCGAAATTCAGGATGTAAACTATTTACCATCTAGCCGGACGGCGCCCCATTGTGATCTGAAATAAAACGCAAAATGTACTTAGTAACTAACACAGAACATTAATTACGGATTGCACAATAAAATATGAATCATTTATTGAGATGTCAATGGATTTTATACAGAAAAATTTGATAAGCACCTTCACAAAGCGACACCGTAACCTAAAAGAAGATTGACAGACGGAAGTTTGCGTGACGTTCTAGCACAGTGTTGCGTCGTTAAATTTACTTTGTATCTTAAAAATTTTTATGAATTCTAATAAAAAATCAATGGTTCTTTTTCACTCACGTACGCACCATCAGCTTTATTCTACTTTTTATTCATACAGCATTACTACTCAAAAATGTTAATATATTGTGTGTTTTACACGTTCTGACCGTACCGACCGGAAGTGTGGCCATCTCATTAAAAGTTGGTTTCTGAACGAATATTATTGGCTAGTTGTTTATAAACGAAAAGAACAACGTCAAAAATCTGAGTTTTTGTGGACGACTGTACGAGAAAATTTATTTTGCGCAACCTTCATATGTGATTTTTATCTTCTATTGATTGTAGTGGGAGTAAAAATGGGTGCTTTGACTAGCCGCCAGCACGCTGGTGTCGAAGAAGCCGATGTAGTGTCCAATCATGCATACAAATATCCTCCCAGATCGGGTTAGTGTGTGACCTTTTTATTATGGACTGATTGTTAATTTCTTGTGCCTCAATCACATACTTCCTGTTTATTAAAAAACAGAACTTAGATAGACTACCTCAGGTCTACTTATCACAGATCGCACCTGTGGTACTTATTGAAAAGCCTTCAATGTTCATGGTTTGTTTGATATGTGGTTAACATTGTCACACTTCAGTTTTGAATAACAAAATGCTACTGCTTGGGATACCCACATAAACTTTCTCTCTTTTCACATAGAGATGAATCAAAAATGATGAATGAAATTTGAGTCAAACATTCACTTTCAGAATTGTGGGAAATAAAGATACAAGTACAAGCAAGATTGTATTATAATTTGTTATTGATATGTATTGGCACTTCTAGTATTATTAATATATTTGAAACTAACAATTTACTTGCCTAAAGGCAGACAAATTAACTTTTGGACGCTGGTATTGTTACTTTTTAAAATTTATAAGTTCTTTTGTCAAAATATATAAAATAATAAACATAAAAGTAACATGGAAAGGCAACAGTAACATTGTTGTAGAACAAATTCTTTTTTGTTTTCAATAGTGATGTCACAGCAATGTTTATGTTGCCTGTAGAAAAAACAAAAATTTCAGTTGTGCATGACTGTTACAGGTAACTATTTTGGGAGCCATTTCATAATGGGAGGTGAGAGATTTGACACACCACAACCAGAAGCATATCTGTTTGGTGAGAACGCCGACCTCAACTTCCTTGGCAGCAGACCTACACCTGTGAGTACAGTTCATTTAGATTTATATCAATTCAAAAAAATGTTACATTAAACACTACATATAACAATGAACAATGAAAAGTTTTCACATATATTTTTTGTGGGAAATGCTTCATTTTGTTATGAAATGAAGCATTTCCCTTAAAGAAATGTAAATGATCAAATTGTTAGTTTGACCCTTATACTTAGGACCCATCGATATGTTCTTAGATCAATATGATTATCTAAATGTAATAGAGTTGCATACATTTCTAATAAATGCTGGAATCTGCTACACACACTAATGTGTTGTGTAGTGCACAAAGATGTACTTATATAATTTTGTATAAAAATTTTTGTAGTTATGTGTAACAATATTATCTTTTAAAACTTTATGTTGTCTATTACAACTACAAGCAGTGCTGAGAGCTGGCAACCATATTTTTGCTAAATTCATACATATATTGTGAAATGAAAACTACTTAGAGTAAGATTGTTAGAAAAGAGTAAAACTTTATAATTAGTAGACAGAGCCTATGTAATAATAATACTAAAGTATTTTTTTACAATACAATTACCGTACAATAAGAATAATAATAATAAAAATAATAATAGCCTTTATTACTGATACAAGTCAATTCAAATATTACAGTATACTTTATTATTACAAAATACAATTCATTATTAAAAATATAAAAATATCTTAAACCTGGATTAATACCAAAAATAATAGACAAATTTCCAATTAAAATTAATACCTAAATAGTTTCAATATTAATAATTCAAAACATTTTCCTATAATTAAATTACATACACATCAGCTTGTCTTTCGACATAGGACTCCTTCTTTGGTATTATTATCACACAAAAAATTAAGTATTCATACTTTGTTGTGCTCTGTTTTGAAGCAAGGCAATGCTGGTCTGTTGCTGATATTATTATAATGGATGATAAATTTAATTATAGACATTGGAGGAGACTGTACATAAAACAAACTGCAATAACATCTATCATGATTGCCATTATATACCCTATTAGTGTCTATACAGGGTGTTAAAAAATATCCATTTTTTACCTGTGCATAAGATTCAGTAAGATTAAATAATTTTTAAATAGGACAGTGTGGAGAAATCCGTAACCATAGAAGATACAAGGGAACTGTCTTATGAACTATAAAGTTTTTTTGTGACAACAATTTTGGCATAGTCAGTTTTTTGGTCAAGCGTGAGTGCGGTGAGTTGTCCATAAAAATGAATAAAATTGATAAAAATTTTTTTTAGTACTGATCGACTCGGTTTCATCAAGGAATCATTTCATTGTATAGGACGAAAAATAATTGGGGCAGCAGAAGTTGGTCAAATTTAATAAAATGTTATTAATTTTGTATGAATTTGTAGGGTAAGGTTGACTAACTTCTGCTGTCCCAATTTTTTTCTTCCGATACAATGAAGTGATCGACGTGACGATAAAACGTGACGACAATAGGAGCTGCGACAATCTGTCGTCACGTTTTCATCGTGACGTTTTTTTATCGTCTGACGACTGCCGTTCTAGCTCTTCCCACTGTGATGATAGTTTGTCGTTGTAACGACCAAAACTCGTGAACGACAGTTAATCGTGTCGTGCTATATGTGAACAACTTCATTTAAATATACAAGCCACGACGCTGTAAA